GGCAGATGGATTCCAGGAAGTAAATGCTCCATGAATAGTCTGCCCTTACTCAATATGACCTTGGCCAGAAATGCTAGGGGACTGTTTTTCAAAGTCATTTCAAAATAAAGCGTGGAGACATAGATGGGCGAGTTTGCTTTGAATGTTAAAAATGAAATAGCATTTTTAATTTGCAGTGCTAAGATGCAGTGTAGTTCTGCTTTAATAGCCTTTTTCATGTATGTATCCATTCTGATTTCTGTTTGGGTCCATTCACACGGGCTATTAGCACACCCTTCAGATTCCAGCGGATTCCTGCATCTAGGTCATGGGGGTCAAACCAGCGGCCCTCCAGCTGTTGCCAAACTACAAGTCCCATGAGGCATTGCAAGATTGACAGTTACAAGCATGACTCCCAAAGGCAGAGGCATGATGGGACTTGTAGTTTTACAACAGCTGGAGGGCCACCAGTTTGACACCCCTGATCTAGATTGACAGATGTGTGTATAGATGCAGCCGCTCAGCCCAAATAATGCAATAACAGGCTGATGGCGACCGCAGCTAACTGTGACTGTTCACACAGTCAGCTATTTACTTGCAGTGATCGTGGCTGGACACAGACTGCTCAAGCCACGACCATCTGTCCCTAACCACAAATAATCGCTGGCTGTGTTGACAGTCACAGTTAGCTGCAGTCGCCATCAGCCTGCTCTTCCATTGTTTGGGTTGATCGGCTGCAGCTCTTCGCACACACACCTGTTATTCCGCATGTGGGGATCGGCAGATTCTTGCTGCTGGAATTTGTGCTGATCTTCCATGTGAATGGACCATTCTATAGCAATAGAAGAAGATTAATCTGAAAGAATGTTGGGCTTGATAGTACACCAGACTTTTCTGTAGATAGCACTTACTTGATAACACGCTAAGTGCGATTGGGCCCTACATTTATTTTTGTAGTTGTGGAGTGTTTTATTCCATTAGTTTATCAGCTGTACTGTATGTGATGCTTTTATCTCTTCAGAATAAAGAAAACAGCATGTTCAAAGATCTCCTGAAAGCCAACATGGAGAAGCCTGTGAAGCTGGAAGTTTACAACACGAAGACGATGAAAGTGCGAGAACTGGAAGTCACCCCCAGTAACATGTGGGGTGGGCAGGGACTTCTAGGTGCCAGCGTCCGATTCTGCAGCTTCCAGGGTGCCAATGAGCATGTGTGGCACGTTCTGGTAAGTGAAGCTCCAGTACCAGTGCACAAGGAGGGATGATCTGCGGATCTGAAATATTTCCTACATTCATATTCTTCTGTTTTTTTAGGACGTGGAGCCAAATTCCCCAGCAGCTCTGGCCGGGCTGCAGCCTCATACGGATTACATTGTGGGGTCTGATCAGATTTTGCAAGAGGTATGAGCAGCTCTGTTTATAAACATGATGTAGGATCAGTAGAACCCGCTTCAAATATTAGTTATAGTAGGAGAGGCTGTAGATTTATTACAGTCAGGAGAGAAGAAGCGTGTCGTGTTATGCCAACATACCTCCCCTGCCTAACTGAGTTAAAAGGTCTTCTGTCCCTCCTATTAGGAGCCTGTTTTTTTCAGTCTAGCTCTCAGGATGGGCTAAAGAACAAAGCACAATTAGATATATATTTGTTTGTTTCTAATGTGTAACACAGTATGTTGTATGCCTTGCTTGTATTGTTACAGTCAGAAGATTTCTACTCCTTGATAGAATCTCATGAAGGGAAACCACTGAAGCTGCTGGTCTACAACACTGAGACCGACTCCTGCCGAGAGGTGTTCGTAACCCCCAATGGGGCATGGGGAGGTGAAGGAAGGTATACTGAGCTATAATTTATTCATATAAGTCTTGCACTGAAACAAGATGGAAAGGTAGACAAGTGTGTACAACATAAAAAGGATTTTCACTCTTGAATACCTTGATACTTAATAAAAAGATTCATGATCATGAAGGATCCAGGTTTTCGTGCTGTTGCTCACCTCCCTTTTCTTATGTTTCTCAAGTATTGAGAGGCACAGGCATGTTAAAGTATATTTAAACCATAGAACAATAATATATAATGCAGATTTCCAGTCCTTGAATGTGGTGGCTTATTAGTTTACATTTTTCAGGCCACGAACATATTTGGCAAGTACAGAAAATACCTGTTGATCTCACTAGAAATGTAGTGTCCTAGTCCCATTCTGAAGGCAATAATGTTCTCTTCTTTCTGTAAACTAATCCCCCTTACCCCTGCCCTGTGAAATGGAAAAAAAGGAAAGAGGATGACATGCTTGAAGTCCAACCTAGGTGACACCAGCGACTCCCTCCATAGGAGTGTGTGTGAACATAACCAGCCAGGTACAGGAAGCATGTTATTGGAAGGATCATCAGGTTTAGAAAAATTACATGAAGAATCAAAAGTCATGCAGCCACCTCATCAAATGACTGCTGGGCTGTAATAATTAAAATATTTGTTTGTTTGTGTTTGGGTGGGGGGAGGTTTAAATACACTTTAACCATCTCCCGCCCGCCATATAGTAATATGACGGACGCAAGGTGGTTCTCTCGTTCTGGGAGGACGTCATATGACTTCCTCCCATTCTCACTGCGCATGCGCGGCTCATGGGGCGCACAGCGATCGGCGGTGCGCTGTGTCCCTCGGACACAGCGGATCACCGATCACGGAAAAAGCCGAAGATGTCGGCTCGGTAATGTGATCAGCTGTGTCCAATCACAGCTGGTCACATGTAAACCGGGAAATGCCGGTTATCGGCATTTCTCTCCTCTCAAGCTGTCACGCTGACAGCTTGTGAGGAGAGAAGAGCCGGTAATCTGCTTTCCGCGGAGGGGACATGTACACTGATCATCAGTGTGCCCTGATGATCAGTGTAGCCCCAGCAGTGCCACCTGTCAGTGTCCATCAGTGCCACATATCAGTGCCTATCAGTGCCCATCTGAGCTGCCTTTCAGTGCCACCTATCAGTGCTGCCAATCAGTGCCACCTATCAGTGCTGCCAATCAGTGCCAGTCAGTGCCGCCTAACAGTGCCAGTCAGTGCCACCTATCAGTGCCATGTATCAGTGCTGCTTTTCAGTGCCCATCAGTAATGCCTGTCAATGCCCATCAGTGCCACCTACCAGTGCCTCCTCATCAGTGCCCATCCGTGCCATTTAGCAGTGTCCATCAGTGCAGCCTATCAGTGCCCATCACTGCAGCCTCATTAGCGCACATCAGTGAAGGAGAAAAATCACTTACAGTCATGGCCGAAATTGTTGGCACCCTTGATATTTTTCCTGAAAATCAAGTATTTCACACAAAAAAGGTATTGCATTAACACATGTTTTGCTATACACATGTTTATTCCCTTTGTATGTATTGGAACAAATATAAAACAGAGGCAGAAAAGCAAATATGACATAATGTCACACAAAACCCCAAAAATGGGCTGGACAAAAGTATTGGCACCCTTAACTTAATATTTGGTTGCACACCCTTTGGAAAAACATAACTGAAATCAGTCGCTTCCTATAACCATCAATAAGCTTCTGACACCTCTCACCCGGAATTTTGGACCACTCTTCCTTTGCAAACAGCTCCAGGTCTCTCTTATTGGAAGGACACCTTTTCCCAACAGCAATTTTAAGATCTCTCCACAGGTGTTCAATGGGATTTAGATCTGGGCTCATTGCTGGCCACTTCAGAACTCTCCAGCGCTTCTTTGCCATCCATTTCTGAGTGCTTTTTGACGTATGTTTGGGGTCATTGTCCTGCTGGAAGACCCAGGATCTTGGACGCAAACCCAGCTTTCTGACACTGGGCCCTACAGTGCGACCCAAAATCCTTTGGTAATCCTCAGATTTCATGATGCCTTGCACACAGTCAAGGCACCCAGTGCCAGAGGCAGCAAAACAACCCCAAAACATCATTGAACCTCCACCATATTTTACCGTAGGTACTGTGTTTTGTTCTTTGTAGGCCTCATTCCGTTTTCGGTAAACAGTAGAATGATGTGCTTTACCGAAAAGCTCTATCTTGGTCTCATCTGTCCACAAGACGTTTTCCCAGAAGGCTTTTGGCTTACTCAAGTACATTTTGGCAAACTGTAGTCTTGCTTTTTTATGTCTCTGTGTCAGCAGTGGGGTCCTCCTGGGTCTCCTGCCATAGCGTTTCATTTCATTTAAATGTCGACGGATAGTTCGCGCTGACACTGATGCTCCCTGAGCCTGCAGGACAGCTTGAATGTCTTTGGAACATGTTTGGGGCTGCTTATCCACCATCCGGACTATTCTGCGTTGCAATCTTTCATCAATTTTCCTCATCCGTCCACGACCAGGGAGATTAGCTACAGTGCCATGGGTTGCAAACTTCTTGATAATGTTGCGCACTGTGGACAAAGGCAAATCTAGTTCTCTGGAGATGGACTTGTAACCTTGAGATTGTTGATATTTTGCCACAATTTTGGTTCTCAGGTCCTCAGACAGTTCTCGTCTCCTCTTTCTGTTGTCCATGCTTAGTGTGGCACAGACAGACACACAATGCAAAGGTTAAGTGAACGTCTCTCCTTTTTATCTGCTTTCAGGTGTGATTTCTATATTGCCCACACCTGTTACTTGCCCCAGGTGAGTTTACAGGAGCATCACATGCTTGTAACATTCTTATTTATCCGCAGTTGTGAAAGGGTGCCAATACTTTTGTCCAGCCCATTTTTGGAGGTTTGTGTGACATTATGTCGAATTTGCTTTCTTTCCTCCCTTTTTTTGTTTTGTCCCAATACACACAAAGGGAATAAACATGTGTATAGCAAAACATGTGTTAATGCAATACGTTTCGTGAGAAATACATGATTTCCTGGAGAAATATCAAGGGTGCCAACAATTTCGGCCATGACTGTATTTACAAAATTTTATAACAAAAACTAAGAAAAAACTTTTTTTTTTTTCAAAATTTTCAATGGTTTTTGCTTTAAGAACCAATAAAAAGCGCAGAGGTGATTAAATAGCACCAAAATAAAGCTCTATCTGTCACAAAAAAAATGATAAACATTTAATATGGGTACAGTGTTGCATGACCGCGCAATTGTCACTCAAAGTGCGATAGTGGTGAAAGCTGGAAATTGGCCTGGGCAGGAAGGGGGTATAAGTGCCCTGTAGGCTAGTGGTTAAATTTTATTTCTACCGTTAGTTAAACTTGAGAACCCCTTACTATATGTTTGTTTCGTGTTGCCATTAACACAGCATACCAAAAATAAATGTTAAATATTTCCTGCATTTCTAGTTGCTTTTTAGGTACATTAACATACATTGCAGAACATAAACTGTGAGATTGTTATTGCAGACCGTGTTCAAATCAAGTTTAAAACTGATAATGCGATCTGCCAACACAGTACAGACAGTATTAATTATGTTCGCTCCACAGCCCACTCCTTAACATTACATGGCAAGAGAACGGTAGGTAGGATTTTAAGCAAGAAAAAAGCACTTGGAAAGGTCGAGTATATAGCTGCTCGTTCCCAGCATAAATGCAAACAGGAATGACCCCCTATGGGACTTTAATGCAGCAGACATACTATCACACATATACTCCTTAAAGCTCTGATGACTATTCCAGGGATATATTCCCTTTGTAAGATTACAACATTCTCAAGAATAACCCCGACGCGTTTCGATCATTTCACTTTAAGATCATCTTCAGGGAGCATAAGAGCAAGAGGGATCTCTGAATAAACATATTCGAGATTAGTAATGATTTATGTATGAGAACACCAATGACAATTATACAATCTCCATTTTCATACTTACAAAAAAGTTAAACATTTAGTGTTGATCAGAGCAGTCATAAAAATACTAGTATTCAAAATGGGAATGCATGGTGCAACATTCAATGGTGTGAGCTATCAAGGGTGCAAGAGTGGTCAAATACCCATTTCGATCAACATTAAATGTTTAACTTTTTTGTAAGTATGAAAATAGAGATTGTATAATTATTGGTTTTCTCATACATAAATCATTACTAATCTCGAATATGTTTATTCAGAGATCCATCTTCTCTTATATTCCCTGAAGAAGATCGTAAAGTGAAATGATCGAAACGCGTCGGGGTTATTTTTGAGAATGTTGTATTGTTGTAATCTTACAAACGGAATATATCCCTGGAATATTCATCAGAGCCAGTGTGTTTTTTATATGTAATGTATATTTTACCAATGTTTTTGTACATTAAAGTACGAGTAAAAAAAGTTCTTTATGAGTATATGTGTGACGGTATGTCCGCTGCATTAACGTTTCATAGGGGGTCATTCCTGTTAGCACTTAGGATGATAAGCACTTGAAGGAAAATGCGGTCACTTTACTTTCATTTCTATGAGTTTAGCAACAGACGCACCTTGTCCCTCCACACTAGCATTTTGATCTTGGATAATTGTTTTAACTGTAGAACGTATATGGTGTAGAAGAGAGAAACTTTAATGCTGCAGATAACAATAAAAATAGGTTCCTGGTAATTCATCTCTTCCTCACAGGGACTTGGTATCCGCTGGAATTCCCCTTTGAGGAGCCTATACATCCAAGATGATTATCACACATCTTGTATCAGCAGGATAGCATTGTATTATGCTGTTTGTATTTTACCTTCTACAGTCAGGTCCATAAATATTGGGACATCGACACAATTCTAACATTTTTGGCTCTATACACCACCACAATGGATTTGAAATGAAACGAACAAGATGTGCTTTAACTGCAGACTGTCAGCTTTAATTTGAGGGTATTTACATCCAAATCAGGTGAACGGTGTAGGAATTACAACAGTTTGCATATGTGCCTCCCACTTGTTAAGGGACAAAAGTAATGGGACAATTGGCTTCTCAGCTGTTCCATGGCCAGGTGTGTGTTATTCCCTCATTATCCCAATTACAATGAGCAGATAAAAGGTCCAGAGTTCATTTCAAGTGTGCTATTTGCATTTGGAATCTGTTGCTGTCAACTCTCAAGATGAGATCCAAAGAGCTGTCACTATCAGTGAAGCAAGCCATCATTAGGCTGAAAAATACAAAACAAACCCGTCAGAGATCGCAAAAACATTAGGCGTGGCCAAAACAACTGTTTGGAACATTTTTAAAAGGAAGGAATGCACCGGGGAGCTCAGCAACACCAAAAGACCTGGAAGACCACAGAAAACAACTGTGGTGGATGACCAAAGAATTCTTTCCCTGGTGAAGAAAACACCCTTCACAACAGTTGGCCAGATCAAGAACACTCTCCAGGAGGTAGGTGTATGTGTGTCAAAGTCAACAATCAAGAGAAGACTTCACCAGAGTGAATACAGAGGGTTCACCACAAGATGTAAACCATTGGTGAGCCTCAAACACAGGAAGGCCAGATTAGAGTTTGCCAAACGACATCTAAAAAAGCCTTCACAGTTCTGGAACAACATCCTATGGACAGATGAGACCAAGATCAACTTGTACCAGAGTGATGGGAAGAGAGAAGAGTATGGAGAAGGAAAGGAACTGCTCATGATCCTAAGCATACCACCTCATCAGTGAAGCATGGTGGTGGTAGTATCATGGCGTGGGCATGTATGGCTTCCAATGGAACTGCTTCTCTTGTATTTATTGATGATGTGACTGCTGACAAAAGCAGCAGGATGAAATCTGAAGTGTTTCGGGCAATATTATCTGCTCATATTCAGCCAAAAGCTTCAGAACTCATTGGACGTCGCTTCACAGTGCAGATGGACAATGACCCAAAGCATACTGCAAAAGCAACCAAAGAGTTTTTTAAGGGAAAGAAGTGGAATGTTATGCAATGGCCAAGTCAATCACCTGACCTGAATCCGATTGAGCATGCATTTCACTTGCTGAAGACAAAACTGAAGGGAAAATGCCCCAAGAACAAGCAGGAACTGAAGACAGTTGCAGTAGAGGCCTGGCAGAGCATCACCAGGGATGAAACCCAGCGTCTGGTGATGTCTATGTGTTCCAGACTTCAGGCTGTAATTGACTGCAAAGGATTTGCAACTAAGTATTAAAAAGTGAAAGTTTGATTTATGATTATTATTCTGTCCCATTACTTTTGGTCCCTTAACAAGCGGGAGGCACATATGCAAACTGTTGTAATTCCTACACCGTTCACCTGATTTGGATGTAAATACCCTCAAATTAAAGCTGACAGTCTGCAGTTAAAGCACATCTTGTTCGTTTCATTTCAAATCCATTGTGGTGGTGTATAGAGCCAAAAATGTTAGAATTGTGTTGATGTCCCAATATTTATGGACCTGACTGTGTTTTAGAAGTAAAAGTGACAGTTATGATGGTGTTACCTCTGTGTGTGGCCAACCTTAAACATATTAAATGTATTCTGTGGAGTTTTTGCTTGTTACAATCATTGAGAGTTTTCAGAATGAATCTTCTGTTTCTGTTGTTGCAGTTTGGGGTGTGGCATTGGTTACGGTTATTTACATCGGATTCCCACACACTCGGTGAGGCCGGAGCAAAAGTATGAAATAAAACCACCCTCACCGTTACCACCAGAGCAAGAGCCTGTTCTGCCTGCTGTGCCACCAATAAACGGATATAGCGAGGTATGATGCTGCATTCATTGGCTGTCATCAGAGAATGTCATCTAATATTTTACTATAAGATTGTGCAGTTACTTTCTACTTTGTTACTTTTATCATCTGCTCTTTTCTCTCTCATTTATGTCAGCATGTTAAGATTTCTAGATTTTGTAGCACATGAATGTAGTTTGGTATAACCAAGCCAATTAAATGCAAATTGTTAGGCAGATTTGAACATCCTGAAACGGACTAAAGGTGGGAATACATGATTAGAAAATCAACCGATCGGTCACCCGACGACCGAGAGGCGTTCGTTCGTTGGTCGAAATCGTGGCCCACAGTAACCAATCTAAAAAAAATGTTTGTTGGGCAATACGTAATGTTGACGTCTTCCGTACAAGTGGAAGTGATGCAGTGTGCATGTGACCTTGTAGCCACCCCTTCTGGCCAGAACGAGCGATATACACAATAATTAGCAGCAATGAGTATTATTATTATACAGGATTTATTTAGCGCCAACAGTTTGCTCAGCGCTTTACAATATAACGGGAGACAATACAGCAACAATACAGTTCAATACAAGAGGGTCAGGAGGGCCTGATCCTTGGAGCTTACAATCTAAGAGAGTATAATATAGTTTATTACATTATCTATATACATAAATAGTGATACATAAAATATAATATGCAGAATTCTGCTTTCATTATCTCATTAGGCCAATCTACTTTTAACATTTGGATTTTTCGATCGTGTTTCCGAAGATTTCTTGGACATAAACATCCGGGTCATCTTCTGTTTCCACTCATGCGTGATAGCGCTTGATAGATTTTTTTCGTACGACCGTCATACCACTGCATAGAAAATTGGTCGTTCGTATGCGAAACGACAACATTTTTCACTGTTGTTCAACCGGATTTTTTCGTTCCCAATATCATTATCGGTTAAAACATCCTGCTCATCAACGAAGAGAAAATCGCTCGATCAGTGGTTTTGCTAAATTTTTGGTACGATTTTCTTATCGTGTGTACGGAGCACTATAACCTGTGATTCCATGCACGAGATTTTATTCATTTTCCAGTTCTGTCTTTTGAACATGAATCCAGTTTTTAATACCTTTGTACTGCATCTATTGGTTTCCCAAATCAGGAAGAGAGATGGGCTGAATTCACTGGCCCACTTAACACCACCCTTATGAGCACTGCTTTTTACCAGTGTGCTTGGATAGGACCCAGATTTAACATATTACAGCTTTCCAGTCTTTACATCTCTTCAGGGAAGCCTATCCTGCCCTCTGCTAATTCTGGAATCCTCTACTCTTCCAACCACTCCATCCCCCACAGTTACTACCTACTGTACCATTCACCCCTCCCTCCTAGATTGTAAGCTCCAAGGAGCAGGGCCCTCCTATCCCTCTTGTATTGAACTGTATTGTTACTGTATTGTCTCCCATTATATTGTAAAGCGCTGAGCAAACCGTTGGCGCTATATAAATCCTGTATAATAATAATACATGTAGTGGCTGCATTGCTTTCCTTTTTTTTCAGGCACTTTTTTTTTTTTTTTTCTTAACCTGGTTATCTTGTAGATAACACACTTCTGTGAATAA